AGAGAACCATCAACCATCGTTCGTTGCAGGAAGGCAAGTGAAGGAGACGGTTTTTTTTTTTTTCAATTACCTTTTATTTACACAGCATGCCCTTTACAGAAAGAGGATACAAGGTGGAGACATTTGAAATGTACAATTGGGGGTATTGAGATAATTGATGGTGCGTTGGGGTTGGAGTGAAGTCTTGGACTTGGGTGGGTCCGCGGCCAGCCACCGAGGTGTTTACGGCTCAGATACCCCACTTATATGTCTCAGATACGTTGCGCGCGCATGGATTTTTCGCTTCACGTGCCTGCCTTCTCTGGAGGGCCTTGCTCAGTACTTGCTCCTCAGATATACCGCCTCATCCATATTCCTGTTAGAGGGGGGGGGGGGGGGAAGAGCCACAAGAGGTAAAAGGTTTTGAGACGTGTGGTTCATTGTCAGGGGGCATGAAGATGTGGCAGTCGTTTCAAGTTCTCAAGGGAGTTGGGACGTGACTAAATCATAACATGTCCCATGCCACTTTGCAAAGCTTTTCTCAATGCGTGCAATCAATGTTCCTCCTCCTTAATTATCCATTGGTTCATTAGTATTTCGACACGGAACCCCAGACGTGAATTTTTGCAACAATATTTTTACTTTCCTGACATAGTTTCATCACGAGTCATGCAGACAAAATTAGTTAATTTTTTTTTTTCCAGCCAACAGCGTTTCTAGAGTACACCATGATTTTTTTCCCCAACCCCGAGCGTAACAAATGGCAGGAAATGCAAATCGTCACAGTGGGACATTCGTGACACAAAGCCGTTGCTCCAGAGCGATTTCCGGAACGCGCGTAAAGCCACGTTTTGTGTGAAGACTGTCCCATTGAGAAGCGTGGATTTTTGCATGCAAAATCGATTCGTTCCCGCGGCAATTTTCCGGCACCATTTATGCAATCTATTGCCATTCTCAGCGGCAATTATTTCGTTGCAGATGCCTGCGTTGAGTCGCCTGTTGTCACGGTGAGGGCTGTCACGGCGAGGGCTGCCACGCGACTGAAGTTTTCGCTCGCTGACGGGGGATGCAAGTCGCTCGAGTCCGCTGGATACACTCGTGAGCGGGGATTCACTCGTGAGCGGGGATTATTCACTCGGGAGCGGAAGCGTGAGTCCTTCGAGTCCGCTCATGCACGCGTGTGGAAGGGACGCCTGTGGAAGGGCCATTTCACTTCAATTTTTGCTTTCGAGGCCAGTTTGCGCGGTGCAACTGATCTGCAGTGTCTGAGGACCACTGCTAGGCTATCCTTGGTCCATCGTTGGACTCTCCTTGGTCCACTGCTGCACTCTAACCTAGTAGAACAGAACACTCAGGCCTTTCCGACGAGTCATCCTCTTAGTTGAAATCATATCACATAAAGGAGAGTGCGCAGACAGGCACTTCGTCTATCGCATTTCTCTGAACAGCGTCACCGAGGTCCAAAGTCATCAAGATCAAAGTGTTCAGGGCTCACGTTTTATCAAGGGCTATATACATGTACGGTTTTTCACGCTCGTGCGCTCACTTGAAAGCATTAGAAGACTGCTAATACTTGCATTTCATCGCAAATTTTCAGGACGCGCTTGGACCTGTTAGATCCTTTGTGACTCATCGGGCAAGATGGAGATTTATTCATTGCTGTAATCATGTGCAACATTATACTATGCAAGTTACATTACTGTATATTAGGCAGCACGCGAATAACTAACAAATACAATGATAAGTAGATAACAATAACAATAAAATGATCTCCAAAAAGACCCCCCTTAAAACAAGGAAAGACGAGCGTCAATCGACCAACAATCGCGTCACACGCCTTATCATATCAGAGAAACTCGGCATAGTTCCGCTGAGATCAGGTCTGGAGAAGATACGCGTTTGTCCCTCCATTTGCCGACTGCTCTGCGCCCGCGGGGGTTCTGTGGCGGTTCTGCAGAGGTCGCGTGGTGGATGTCGGGAGCTGTAAATACTCAGCTGCTGGACTTTTGTTTTCAGTGAGGGGGGAGCGGACGGTGGGAGAAGATGTGGAAGAAGAAGAGGGATCGGGTGAGTGGTGGCTTGCAGATGCGATGCCGTGTTTTGCATGGGATCTTCGGTCTGACGGAGATTTTGTTTTTTGTTTTCTTTCAATTACGGTGTTCCGAAGTGATTTATACGTTTTATACATGGAGGTTTCCTTATCTGGGAGTGGGGGAGCTCCGAGTCTTCTTATCGACATTTCGCTCCTCTGAAGATACTTTTATGATTATGAGAGACTGATCATTCCCTGCAAATATGGAGTCGCGTCTGGCTTCGTCAGGTGTGTAACGATGATCACGATGAGTATTTCCGTACATTACTTTCCAGGAACTCGCCTATCAGAATGAGGGCTTTGAGGGTAGCATCCCCGGAGGGAAGAAAATTATCGATGGATTCGCCGTGAAGGACGACGAGGTTGGCCACAATCGCCAATTCTCTGTTTCATTCGAGTTTTTCCTTGCACGATTGGGATTGCGCCGTTGCAGAAGTACGATGGGACGATGGATGCAGAGGTGGCGAGGCGAGAGGGGAGCAAGAAAGGTGGCATGATAGGTGGCATGAAATGTTGCATGAAGGGTGGCGGGAAGGTGGAGCGAGGAAGATGGGGGCAGCCGGTGGAGTTTCTCTTCTCCTGCATCGCCATGTCGGTGGGGCTGGGGAACGTGTGGAGGTTCCCGTTCGTCGCGTACGAGAACGGGGGCGGGGCGTTTCTCATCCCGTATCTCGTGGTGCTGTTCCTCGTCGGGACGCCGCTCTTCTACATGGAGCTGTGTCTGGGACAGTTCTTGGGACGGGGATGCGTTCGGGTCTGGGATGCCGTGCCTTTCTTCAGAGGTAGGGGTTAACTGAGGTGAAACGGCAGAGATATCTTAAAATCGCATTTGCCAGCTTTTTTTAAGGCTTTTTTTCTTTCTGTGAACTAAATAATTCTGCACTACCCGAATTAGAATTCATTGAACACCTGGGCTACGTGAAGCGAAGAAAAAAAGAAGAAAACAATACTTGGTAAACGTAGCCATTTGATCCATAAACTTCTCTTGAATTTTATTACCGGCAACTGTTTGAGAGATCTTTAAAGCTTAAATGAGTGGTCAGCGACTGACAAAATGTGAAAAAGTCCAATAAAGTCATATGAGGAAATAGAGACCCCTACGCAACAGGCCTTCAACAGGCCGTTTGCGACAGGATTTCTTCTCTTTTCAGTGTCATTTGGGATGCGTTCCTTTGTTATCTCTGAATGCATTCTTACACCGCACGATCCGCATCGTGATACTTTTGCAGGTATAGGCTTCAGCCAGCTGGTTGCAGTGTCGCTGGTGGTGTCCTACTACTGCTACCTCGTGGGGATCACGTTTTTCTACCTGGCCAAGTCCTTTCTGGATCCGTTGCCGTGGTCCAATTGCGATTTCGAGGGGGCGGATGAGCTGTGCTTCACGGCGGGAGACAACGCCTCGGTCAATCTGTCGTTCATGCAGTCGTCTTCGGAGCAGTACTACATGTCGGTTCGGTTTCGGTACTCGTACCAGAGGGAGATCCGAGGGGTTTCACGCGTTTCGTCTTCAGGCACCACGTGTTGAAGCTGCTGCCAAGTGACGTCGGGATCGACTCGGGACTAGGGACTGTGGACTACCGGCTCGTCGCCTGCACTGGGGCGGCCTGGCTGGTTATTCTGTTCATGCTCGTGAGGGGAGTGAGGAGCAGCGGGAAGGTGGCTTACTTCATGGCGCTCATTCCATATATCGTGCTCCTAACCTTCCTTGGGAAAGGGGCGACGCTGGACGGGGCTGGGGATGGGGTGCTCTACTTCCTCACGCCGGACTGGGGTGCTCTGTTGAGATCAAAGGTTGTTGGGGGGGGTGGGTGGGGGTGGGTGGGGGAGAGTGGAGGCGTCGGGAAGACGATGGAGCCTGTTGCGTTGCGTCTATGGGGTTGGGGCGTTTTAAATGCTTCGATGGTTGGACCTGACCACTGTGGGATTTCTTCGGCAGGGAAACCTTACAGTTTTTGAAGAGGGCTTTCTTCGCGGATGTTCATGGTAAAGAGCGTGAAGCTCTCGAAATATTATGACCCACGACTCTTTCCAATATTAACGTTCGACTTTAAAGTTTTACATTGGGAAGACTATTTCCGCCTCTAACTCGGTCAAATTAAGATCTTCTTCAGCCATGGCCATCGCAAGTAGGGGGTGAGCCAAAGAAATTCACTCCTTTTCATTTGATTACTACATGCGTGCAAATTAAGAAGCATCCACGGAATTAGGAGTAAAGATATTGCTGCGTCACTTTTCCCTAATCGAATGAAATTCTTTTCAAGGGTAGGGTTATGAATAGTGCTCATACAGACAATTTTTTCCCAGCTCTTGGTAAAAGAAAAGTAATAGTTGCGCGAACATTATTGCGTTAAGATGATAGGATAAGCACACGTAATCTCTTTTTTTTCCAATGAACAGTTATTTAAAAGCACAGATAACAGCAACCATAAATAGAGTTATGATTGCAGTTACCGATGATTACTACGATGTTGAATGTGCTCTCTTCTGTTTTGTGCCCTATGTGATTTTTTTAACCTCAAGTTGCAAAGGAATTATTGCGTCAATATTATTGGTTTCTCCCCCCCCCTGAAATAAATGCAGGTCAAGGGAGATCAAGAGAGAATGGTAAAAGTTTCCCCCGAAATTTCATGAATTAATTAGTATAGACCAGGGGTGTCAAACTCTAATCGGTCGGCTGGCCGCATTCCTTACCCTACAGGTGCCTGCGGGCCGCACCCATAATTTTTCACCGAAATTTGGGCTAATAGTCAATCCAAGTGGAAATTTCAAGAGCAGACGGCGGGCCGGATGAACCACCTCTGCGGGCCGGATCCGGCCCACGGGCCGTATGTTTGACACCTCTGGTATAGACGTAGCAATCGAATGAAAGATGGGCACATCCCTATCGCAAAGCCAAAAACGACGCATGGAGTGGCAAAGCTACCGCCGAGTTAAATGCAACGGGCTGCATCATGAAGCAGGTCGTCCCGACGACCTCGTCCACCCCCAACGTGTCGTCCACGGGTTTTGGACTCCGTCGAACCGCTCGTTGCAGGTGTGGTTCGCAGCGGCGTCGCAGTGCTTCTTTTCCCTGTCTGTGGCCTTCGGATCCACCCAGATGTACGCCTCGTTCAATCACTTCGAACGGAACATCTACTGGTACGTTCACCCCCAGAGATTCACCCCGAAACGTCCCGGAAAACGCGACGGTTCTGTCGCTCTTTTCAGGGACGCCCTGGTCGTCTGCGCAGTGGACACCTTCACCAGCCTCCTCTCCGGCCTGGCCACCTTCTCCGTCGTCGGTCACCTGGCCCAGCGCCTCAACGTCAACGTCTCCGAGGTCATCAAGACGGACACCGGCCTCGCCTTCATCTCCTATCCGGACGTCATCTCCCAGTTCAGAGTTCCCCAGGTTCGTGCGATTCTGTCCGGTCATCAACGCCATGAGTGTTCCTTCCATGTTCAATCAATTCCCTCGAATAGTCATGAATGAATGAATAAATTACGGCGAACTAATTGTGAATCCATGAATGAATTAAGAATCATGAATAAATGAACGATGAATGAGTCGCGAATTTATAATGAATGCATCGGGGTCCTCGCTCCAGCTGTACTCGGTGCTGTTCTTCGTGATGATGCTGACCTTGGGAATCGGCAGCGCCGTGTCCTTGGTGAACACGGTCATCACCGTCCTCTGCGACCGGTTCCAATCGTTCAACCGGCTTGCTGTCACCGTTTTCTGCTGCCTCGTTGGGGCTGCGTCCGGATTTCTGTACTGCACCCCGGTGAGGAGCTTTTGGGGGGGAAGGGGGGGGGGGGGATGTTGAAGGGGTGGATGAGGATTATGCCGTGTTTTTAGGGTGGGATGTACGTGCTGAGGTTCGTGGACTATTACGGAGGGAGCATGGTTGTCTTCCTAGCGGCCTTCCTGGAAGGGGTTGCCATCTCGTGGGTCTACGGTGAGTCGTTGGTCGTGTATCGAAATTTTACCCTTTTTGGTGTAATTAGGCGCCATTCTGAAGAGAAGCTGTTTGTTCATGTGGAACGAAACTGCGAAATTCACGGTAGATTCGAAGAAAATGGGAGAGGAACAGATGTCGTATGGTGACGTCATCAGTGGTTATCTGCTCCCATCATGTGAAACCTCGTTGAAATTGACCTTATGTCAGGCTCTTTCATGTTTCTCTAATCGTTGCAGCGAGTGTTGAGCACGGCATCGCAGTTTTGCTCTCCCATGAAGGCCCTTCAGGGAAGAGCATGGGGCGTAATTTACGAGAATAAAATCGTAGAAGGGCAGCTTAAGAGAAACATACAGGGAATCGGAAGCCCGATCGACGTTGTCGCCTTTTCCGTGTCGTAGGCTTGGGGAACTTCTGCGACGACGTCCAGTTCATGATCCGGATTCGTCCGGGGTGGTACTGGCAGTTCTGCTGGAAGGTCGCCGTACCGTTGGTCCTCGGGGCGATATTCGTGTACAACCTCGTGGAGTTGGAGCCCCTGAAAATGGGGGATTATTCGTATCCGTCCGTTCTCGGAGGTGAGGGAATCCGGTCGATTCGATGGGAACATGAACATTTTTTCTCAACTTTCTCGTTCTGCCTGTAGGCTTGGGTTGGCTGATCACGATCGTAGCGGTCGGGGCGATTCCGGGCTTCGCCCTGGGCGCCGTCCTCAAGGCTGATGGGGCTTCCTACATGGAGGTCAGTTTTTTCTTCGTATTAATCAAAAATTGCTGAGGTTTCAAGCAGGGCTTCGATCAGGCAGGAAACCGAAAACCAAAAAATTTCGAAACGGCAACGAAATCCTTGACCGACTTAGCAAGAACATGCGAACCGAAAACCGATTCGTATTTGAAACAGTTAGCGCATTTGTTGTTTTGTTTTGTTAGTTCCACCCAGCCCCCCCCCCCCCGGTTTTTTCTTATGCAACTTTTATTTCAAAAGCTTGTAAAAAAAAAAAGAGAAAAAGCTGTGCTTGATTCAGATCCTGTTTGAATTTCTCCCTAGTGGATCCAAATGAATGTTACTTTCTGATATCGAGAACGATCCTCACTCGGTTATTACTAAGGAAAGAAGAAAGAGAAAATGCTGTGCTTGATTCAGATCCTGTTTGAATTTCTCCCTAGTGGATCCAAATGAATGTTGCTTTCTGATATCGAGAACGATCCTCACTCGGTTATTACTAGTAACCGAAACGTAGGAAATTTTTGGAGATTAGAAATGACGAAAATCATTTCATGCCGAAAATCGGCATGAAATTACTTAGAAGGTAACGTAACGTCAAGGGAACGTGTCATTCCTCCGTTTCGAAGCCCTGCTATCAAAAAGATCGGCAACAAATGCCAATCATCCCCAAACTGCATGCAATCGTTCTGACCCCCCTCGACCCTCGACCCACACTTCATCACGTATAACGAGCGAAACGACTCCTTTTTCCGGGTAAGAAACTGAGAAACAGCCTGAAGCCGTCGTCGTCGTGGAAGCCCCAGGACCCGCGGATGGTCTCCTCGTGGCAAAAGGTCAAGGCGGAGGCGAGGCAGCGGCGCGAGGCGAAAAGGAGGCGTAAGGAGGGTGCATCTCGTCCCTTTCATTCAAGGTACTGATGTGGATGACTACGATGTTCTTGTGGATGGCGCCATTTGAGTGAATCATGCAGTTGTCTGTGATGATCGTTCGAGCAAGGACCCCTAAGCTATGAGGGGGGGGGGGGGGGGGGGGGACGTTCTCGATATCAGAAAGCAACATTCATTTGGATCCACTAGGGAGAAATTCAAACAGGATCTGAATCAAGCACAGCATTTTCTCTTTCTTCTTTCCAAGCTTTTGAAATAAAAGTTGTATAAGAAAAAACCGGGGGGGGGGGGGCGGACACGAAAGCAATCGTTTTTCCGGTGCTTGGCATACGAAGTCAGTGTGATAATAAATGGATCCTGTGAAGCTTTCTTTCATTTCTTGCCTTAGGGTCAACATTCGAGAGGCTTTTTTTTGTCAGTGAAGAGGGAAATGGGTGAGTGGTATGCTCTAGGGCCAAAAGTGACTACAAAGGATTCTTCGTGATGTGTGTCGTCTGGCACGTCCAATAGTAGGAAGAAGCACTGTACTAGTACTTCTTTGAACTATCAGTCGTACTTCCGTACAGTAGTTCATAGGGTTTCACCCAGATTCAGTTTATTCTAATCGACAACTCTATATACTCCATAGAGAAAATTTTTTTAATTTACAGGATGATTCATTAATTTATTACCTCTGTGCTTATGTTTGCTAAGAGAGGTGCGTTAACCCTAGAAGGAATTCAATTACACCTTTGAAAACAGCACCATTTTCGAGTACTTCTACTGAAATCTGGTTTTGAATGATGAGCTGTTGTATCATATCGAAGAATTAGAACGTAACATTCTGCTTCACGAGAATGGGTCTTCACCGCGTGACAAGGTGACGAGTGAAAGTACGCAATTGCTTTCGCTCCTGGATTTCATTTCCTGGATCATTTTTATGATCAATGGTTGGATTGAAAAAGTCACTCAAGGTTAACTGTCACTATTCTTGACCTTTTTTTGCTCATCATTTTGCATGGATTAAAACTGACAAACCTCAAGGAATTAAAGAGAGAAAATAACGTTGTCGATTGCTCTGTTGACCTTTCCTCCTTGAGTTGTCGCAGACAGTGTGCAAATCGCGCAATTTATAAGACGGGAAGAATTTTGAGCATCTCAGGAAGTTGAGCGCTTTCCCCAGTGCAATTGCTTTCCTTTTGTGGTACACTTTCTCTTTCACGTATGAATAGCGGTGAAAAAACGTATGAATCACCCTGTAGAGCCAGGTGGGAGGAAAATAATGGGCAAGACGTCCAAGCGAATGTCACAGCTTCCGAGACGGCAAGCTGAAGATTTGAGTTAATTACGGAAAAGGAAGTAAAAAAAAGGCTTGGCTCACCCTCGCCTTTCTCGTGATCGCCGGCAATCACAGCAAAGGAAATGAGAGTGTTGCCCCACACCCCCAATCTCGCTGTATCTAATTGCCCTTCCAGGAATAGCAAGACACGGAATCACGAGCGGGCAAACAAACTCGGAGTTTAGGAAGGGTTTATTACATCACCGGCTAACTAGGACACCGACAGACCGCCAGACTCCAAGGGTTTAACCGTTTAACCATAAATGGTCGGGTCCTCACCTCTGCTCCCTCTTGACAGACGACAAGCAAAAAAACAATAGACGCGATGGCGACCCATTCTTTCTCCCTTGTCGCCGTCTCCTTTCTCCCGCGTAAAATCAGAGAAATAACGGAATGGAAAAGGATGTCGCAAACATCAGTACGATAAAATCTGACTTGTGGATTGTCGCAGTTTTCTTCTGCCTCTGCTTCTGATTTCGTTTCAGTTTCCTTTCCCAGGAAACCCTAATCATTTGTTCCTGTTTATATTCCATTCCTCCAATTTTTGTTCTGTTTCGTATGTTTCTAATCTGTTAAAATTATGCTACCAATTGTGTGTTATTTTTACATTCATAATTTTTTATATTATACTTAGGCAAAAGTGTGAACCACACGAATCAGAATAATAATAAAAAATCGGTTAATTTTTGCACTTCATGCAGACCCAGAAAAAAATATTTCGCGTTTTGGGGATGACGAAGACACGCTCTGCAGTTTTTTCACCACGTTTCCATTATTCCATTAAATATTATTAGATTAATTTAAAATTTTAAAATGGATTCCGTTTCCAATCCGTCGATTTTTGAATCAGCTCTAAAATCAGTTGATTCCCAACAACATACCCACTACCCATTGTATACCCATACCCATACCCATACCCATACCCATACCCATTACAGGTTGATCCAGTACTTTCGGAACCGCGAAAGGACTTCCTCGATATTCGAATTATTCTTTTTTTATTCAGACGCTTCATACGGCTCGCGGTATAGGGCAGTACTGCAAATTACCTTCAACAAACCATTGAATCAACCGGAGGGGGCAAGACTTAACTTTGCACAATGATAAGAATAATTTTTGGAGAAGGGGTGGGAAAGGGGGAGGGGGGAGAAGGGATAATGCTGGGAAGTACTCAGCGACTGCCCTAGGGAAAAAACCGGTCCGATTTCAACAGATGAGATAACGATGGATTTTTCCTGCCTGGGGGGCATGTTGGATCACTTCAATCGGGATTCGTATAGTACACGAGGGAAAAACCAAGTGATTACCATAGAAATGACCGCATGTCGACCTGGACTGATTTCGATGAGATGACAAGCGTCTTTCTGGCCCCGATGGTGGTTTTCGCAATCACTGTGCAATGGAAGCAGCGGCATTGAAATGTGGCCTGTGGTGAGCATCGAAATGCCAGAACGAATCAAGTAGGGCAAACGAGAGCATGTTCTGCTGCTGACAGGAACGTTGAGAAACATCTGGCAACACTGGCTATGTCATCATAGTCGAGTCATGACTGCTTTCATTCCGGAGTAGTATTATACATTCTGGAATTCTGAGTTGACGTCTGGAATTCAATTCGTCATGAAGGAAAACTTTATTTCCATTGTACCGACATTATTTGAGAGTCTGAGATGTTTGAGATGCCATGTCCCATCTGTATTAATTGCTTAAATTGCTTTCTCTTACCCGTCCTTTCCACCGCATTGACTCTCGTCGACGCATCGTTTCGTAACACGCGCGTGACTTTGAGGGGGACTCAAGACTCATCGGCTAATGAACAAGCCGGGCTAACCCTTTTCAGTTCCTTTCAATCGCAGAAGGAAAAGGCGACAGGCAAATAGAAATACATGGCGTCGAACAGGCAGATATGACATTGCACGAGTTCATGCAGCATCCCCGTCTGCGCTGCCATGGGCTCTTTCCATTCAACGATGGATCCGTCAGCATAGAAAGCTGGAAAGGAACTGGGAGTTCTGACTAACATCACACCTTGACCCAGGCTGAGTGCTGCGCATGCGCCCTTTAGGGAGGCTAGTTGATGATTGCTTTTCCGCTGTGGGAAAATTCCTCATTCGAAATTCCCGATAAAAAATATTTAGGGACAAATTTGCCATTGGCGAAATCATTAACCGTATCTTCTTTCTCTTTGAAAAGAAGATTTACGAAAAGTTAAAGGTGAAAATTCCACGAGGCAAATTACAGCGATCGGTTGTCGAGTTTTCAAACGCAGATGCCGCCAATCGAGATCTGCTCAATGATGATGATAAGAAGACAAGAAGCAATAAATCCATTGAAACCGATCGCAACGACATCTATTCAAGCAAGTTTACTTCAGAGCGGAACGTTGTCCTCATTTCCACGCTTTATTCTGGAATCCTTCGCAAAATTGGAGGCATTAATTGTTCAACAACCATGGTATTTTCCGCTCAAAATTCTGAAAATGACTAATATTACAAACGTTACTCAACATCTCAATCAGGATTTCGTAAGCAGTTCAGGGTCGGGGACTTTCTCCCACGCTTCTCACGCATATTCATGGAATGCAGACTGTTCCGAATTTCTGTTGATCCGGGAAACGCGAGGAGAAAGGACGACGGATTATCATGTCCAATGAATCTTTCATCGAGCGTCATCTCGGGAAAGCCGAGCGAGTCTCGTGGCTTAAGAACCTCATCGAACACACTGTCGAACATTTCATCGAACAGTTCGCTGACGCCCGACCAGGTCACGTGCTTCGGAAGTCGCCCTCAGTCTTCCCCTGGCGCTTTCTCTTATCATTATTTATTATTTTTGTTGCTTCCGTGGAGAGGAGCGACCGCAAGAAGAGGCTTGGACTCCTTTCTAAAACGAGGTTAAGTCCACATCGAGAGATCGTGATTTAAAAAAAAAAAAGGAATTTTCGAAGCATAAAAAAAAGGATGCATTCGAAACGGGAACCGGAGAAGTGCCGAAAGCGAGGACGACCTTCCGCGCCTCCCAGATCCGCCAGCCGCCAAGGCTGGAAGGAGACTGACCCGCTCGCTCTAGTTGAGGCCCGCGCTTGCGAGTTGAGGTCCGCGCATGCGCGTTGAGGCCTGCTCATGCGCGTTGAAGTCAGCGCATGCGCTTTTCGATCCAGACTGATCGGTGGATGCCGATGCTGCTCGCGCAACCGGAATTTTCAAATGATATCTTGTTCGTTTGCGGGTTTCTGACTTTCTGTGTCCCATGGAATTTACTTGCTAATGGCTTTTTTTTTAGCTTTTAAATATTTAAAGTAAATTTTTATCGAACATATTCATACTTATTTGAATATTACTATTTTCAAGGAGATCTGATGCGTCGATGACGCTCTGAATGAGAAGCTAAGCACCTCATTCACTCGGGTAAATTGGGTAGGCTTGGGACCATTTATCACTCGGTAACGACTTCGTACACAGTTCCGAATTGCCATTAAAACAAATGCCATTATCGACAAGGCGGTCAGCATTTCCCTCAAACCCTAATTGGAACGGAATGAGACGGTTCTGTGAAGCGCATAGCCTGTTTCGTGTCGCTCGGAGTCGCAAACAACCAGGTGCAGGTCGCCCGAACTTGCCAGGTGCTCCGAGTTTTTTTTTTTCCCGGCTCATATCCTAATCCTGATCCTTTCCAAATCTC